ATTTTTTGCATACAATTTTTGTATATAATTTCATATATTATTTAATAATTAATTTTTTTATAATATTATATATATTCACTCATATAATAATACACATAAATTTTAAATAAAATTTATACAAATAAGTTGCGTGTGTATTATTACATTTTTTTAATAAAAAGATTGGCTTTCCATTAAACATAACATGATTGCTGATGTCAGGTGTTCAATGAGGGTTAATTTGCAATAATTTTTTCAAGTTTAAGGGTTTAAAACCATCTCTTTTAAGTACAGGGGTTGATTTCAAACCACATATTGGGTATAGAGTTTTTTTTTTTTGGCCATCATATGTCGAGTATAGAGTTGATTTGCCCATTTCGCGTATTTTGGGACAGCAGAAGTAAAAGAATTTCCTCTCTGCTTAACATATCTCTAAATTATTAAGCAGGCAAGTCAGTAAAATGCTTCTGACCAAAAACGCAAAACCTTTTTGTTGACTACAACAATATGCTTGTTAGGAATGGTCTGAACACAGATCTAAGCCTCTTTTGATCCAAAAGGCCTGCATATGGACGGTGGGTGTTGTATTTGTGGAGGAATGGAAACATGCAGCCACTTCTTTTTTGAATGCTCTTATACCACTGTTTAAAACACGACTTGGTGAGTAACTTGTTTTCAGCACTAGATTTGGTTCAATTAGTTTGATAGGTTGTTTTGATTGGTCAAATAAAAAGTTGAATTTTTCAATTTTTTTTTTGTATATTTTATTACTATATACTGATATTACTTGTATAAATTGAAGGTTAAAATATAAACTTGGTCACTTGACTTTTAGATTTGTAATAAAATTGTCCTTCAATTTCAAGAAGAATCAAAATTGTCTCTAACCTTTAATTTTGGGCGCCAAAATAGTCCTTGAATTTTAAAAATAAATATCAACTTAGTTCCTGAACTTTGAAAATAAATATCAATTTATTCTTTAAATTTTGATTATAAATATCAATTTGGTTTTTTAACTTTGATTACATATCAATATAATGTGTAAATAGAAATATACTATGATGACAAAATATGATTGCTTGATTTTACATATCATTAGTATTTTAAAAAGGAATTGATTTTGTGACAAAATAACAAGTCACGTGACATTTCTGTTAACGAAAGAACTATCTTGGTATTAAAAATTAAAATTTGGGGACAATTTTGATTTTTTTTGAAGTTAGAGGATAGTTTTGAAAATAAATTTAAAAATTAAAGGACCAAATTAGCATTTTACCTAAATTAAATTTTTTTTTAACAAAAGACTAATCACAACTCAAATCAAGGTTTTTAAAACCGGACCGGACCGGCCGGTTGAACCGGTCGGACCGGTACCCGGTCATAAAAACGGTTCGGTTCATATAAAAAAACCGTTTTAGGTCAAAACCGGTCAAAACCGGTCAAAATCGGTCAAAAA